GTTGAGCTCAACCTCAATGGACATGGGATTAGCGTTTGTGGACCCGACACGGGTATCGAGGTCTCAAACTTGTCCTTGAGTGACTTGGGCCCAACCTATGTGAACTTGGCTCAACTGCCAAGGAACTGCGCTTAACCTCGATGCATTTAGGCCGAACACCACTGACTTGAGCAAGGGTGCCGAGTACCTGGGCATGGCCACTAGGGAGCCGGGCATGGCCGCTAGGGACCCGTGCATGACCTCAAGGGACCTGGGCTCGACCTCTTGGACTAGAGTATGGGCGCCAAGGTCTCAGGCCTGACTTGAAGGGACCTGACACCCGCCTCTATGGACTCGGGCCTGGTCTTTAAGGAATCATGCCTAACCACGATGGATCGGTTAGGCGCCAATGACTTTGATGCAGAGTCAGGTTTCTGGGCAGGGCCGTTGGGGACTCGGGCATGGGCATTGAGGACTCGGTCCAACCTCGAGAAATCAGGCCGTTGAAGAACTAGGCCCGGCCTCGATGGGCCCGGGTTTGGCTCTAGTGACTTGGGTGCGAGACCCGAGTACCTAAGCAGGGCCACCAGGGACCAGGGCATTGGGGTCCCAACCATGAGGCCAAACATAAGGTCCTGGGCCCCTCTTGAAGGGACCCTTGCTCAGCCTCTATAGACCTGGGTGTGGCCACCCAAGGAACTGAGATCGGCCTTGTTGGACCCAGGCTCGGCCCTAGTGCTTTGGTAAAGGAGTCGAGTACTCATGCATGACCGTTGGGGTCTCGAGTATGGGCACTAAGGTCTAGGGCCTGGCTTCGAGGGACCCAACTTCCAAGGACCCGGGCATGGGCACTGAGGTCTTGGCCATGACCTATGGGACCCAAGCCTCGCCTCTATGAATCTGGGCTTTGCCTTGATGTACCTAGGATAGCCTTGATGGATCCTGGCCAAGTACTAGTGACTAGTGGGAGTTAGGTACCTAGACATGGCTGTTAAGGACCCTAGGTACCGGCACCGGGGTCTTGGGCACCTCCTTGAGGGATTTGGGCCCAGCCTCTATGCACTTAGACCCATCCACCAAGGAACCAAGGTCAGTCTCGATGGACCCGGGCCGCAAGAGGCGGGTACTCGTGCATGACCGTCAGAGACTTGGGCACGGACACGAGACGGTATTGTTCTTTTATTGGGTCAAAATTGGGTTCCTTTCAAACCCATTTGCAAACCTTATAGAAGCCATGGTTAATTGTGCATTGCTTTATTAGACCCATTTTAACCCATATTTATAAAATTAAGGCAACCCATATTTCCCCAAACTTAATAAATTTGAGTTAAAATATGGATCCATGACCCATTTTGCAGGAAAATTATAAAAAAATCATAAACCTATTGCAATTGTGCCAATTCAGTCATAAACCTTTTTTTTTTGCCAATTGAGTCCTAAATCTTTTGAGTTTATGTCAATTCAGTTCATTCGGTCAATTTTAACTAGTCGACGTTTACGTAGTATGACTAACAATGAGTTGGCGCGGCCGGTGCTGACGTGGACAAAATTTTAATATTTTTCAAAATTTTTACTTATTTTTGTTTTTTTTTATTCCTTCTTCCTCTGACCAGTTGCTGGACCGAAGTGACTAGCAGGAGGTGAGGGCGACCTCATTGGATTTGGCCCAGTGACCGCGAGGTCGACCTCGTTGATCCTTGCCTTTGGCCTGTCACCTTGGTTTGGCGACCGGCCAGAGGAAGAAGGAAGAAAGGAGAAAAAAAAGAAAGAAAGAATAATTAAAAAATTAGCAAAAATATTAAAATATTATGAAAAATTGTTAACGTCAGTGCTGGTTGCACCACATCAGCGTCAGTTGTGTCACGTTAGCACCGGCCAGCCAAAATTGGCCGGATGTATTGTATTTGTACAAATGCAAAATGTTTCGAATTCAATTGGAGAAAAAAAATATTTAGGACTGAATTGACACATTCGTAATAGATTCCCCCCATTTTGCCATCTCTACTTGGGATGCTATCCTCCTGTCATGCTGCCACAATTTTCAACTCACCTATCACAATGCTGCGAGTAGGACACGAGAAAGTATTTCAAGTATCAATTCTATGTTTGATGCGGTAAAAGGAATCAACATCAATATAACCGAATTAAATTCAAGCTAATCTTACTTTTGAATCTTGAAAACTATTGCTTTTGATTGGCTTGTTTCTGTACATTACACGCAACTTGATATTACTGATGCGCAAATTATATTTTGTGTCATGGAATGGGATCTTGCGCTGGGCCGCCACAGTCTTGCTCGCCCCGCAATGAACGCTACCACAGAGGTCACGACCATAGCGCGAATGGTCGTTCTAGCTGTAGACAACCCTAAATCGGGGGAAGCTCAAGGCAGGGAACCCCTCATCTGTGGTCAAATTTGGAGGGAGAAAGAGAAAGGGATAGAGGCATTGAAGGAGGACCTGGAAGCTTGGGCTCCGACCGCGGCGATGGTTCACAACTCCGGTGACAATGGTGGGGCAGCTACCGTGAAAGAAGAGATAAGCGATTTAGCATGAGAAAGAGAGAGAGAGAAAGAGAGTCGCATGCATACTTCAAGGTTGAGAGAGAGGAACTGCATTGAAGTGAGCAATCTATCAACGGATAAATTTAAGATGTAAATTTATCATTTTAGTCCTTATTGAAGAGCACCACCATCAATTATATTTAGTTAGGTTTGAATGCGCATGACGCTAGTAATTTATAATCCATTAATCAGAAACATGGTTAAAGGTAATTTCGAAGAAACTCGAAGAAAACTCAGTATCTCCACATAGCTTGCTTATATGATTAAAGGAAAGGGTGAATGTGAATGAGGTTGTATATTAGGTGGTGACAATTACAGAAATAATTCAATCACCGCTGACTGATTCACAAACTTAGATCGTCATATAATCCGACTTAAACGTTATCAAGACGCCATATTCATGACCAAAGCCTATCCACCAACTCCAGCCTCGTGGTAATGCAAGGAAGCTAGCAAAATCATATGTCGATAGCCAATTTGGAGTAAATCCAATTTTATTCACGTTGGTACAAGATGCAACAAGATACACAATAAAATCCAATTTCATTGGCCCTGAATCGTGCGAGCCCTTCTCATGCAGGAAAGCACTCGAATTCACAAATTCACCCCCTCCACGGCCAATACGTAGACATACAAATGATTACTTGTAATGATTAAAGATCAAAGGGAGATAAAATAATATCTGGAGGGCGATAGTGCCACTGCCATTGTGGTGCGGTGCTTTAACCCTAGACCTCTTTACCCAATTCTCTTTTTCTTTTCTTTTCTTTTTCATTCTTGGATTATGAAAATGAAAGTGGGGTTACGTATTGCCGGTCTCGAACTGTTTGGGAAATTGAAGCAAGCTGTTCCCAAAGAAAAAAGCGTGCCATTTATTCGCAAAAAATAATATTTAATATGTATATTGGGGTAGGGGCATTCAGATAGAGTTTGCCTTTCTTAAATATTTATTATTGTCAATTGTATATTCCACTTCCATTGCCTAAAGACAACGACATTCAGTTTTCTCCCCCTTATTTATTTATTTATTTATTTTCCCCCCTTTTTTCATTCATTGGATTATGTGGAAAAGAGGCAATTTCGAGTATTGGGATTGGAGGGATCTTTCTTTCTTTTATTTTTTTATTTTTTTTGGGTTGAATTATTATTATTTTTTTTATGATTATTGTTTGCCTTCATTCCTTCCCACCTCTTCAACTTTATGGAAGAAAAAGGTTGATAGAGGCCACCGAAAAGCATGGACACCTTATCATGAAAGCAAGAAAAACACGACCCGATTTGACGGGCCAACACACACCCACAACACAAAATACCAAAAACCACTCGAACGCCCTCGCAAATATTTCACACGCTTGTTCCATCATCACATTCACATCTCACATCTCCCATCTCCACCTTCTATTCCCCTTGGCTGTTTCTCTCGACCCCCCTTCCTTTTTCTTCGGTCTTTGTTGACGAGCATGATGGAGAAAACACAGAGGAGGTTGTCATGTTTTTCGAAGAAGAGTTTGGCTCCTTCTGCTGGACGGGGTTGAGGGCGATTGGTTCGCTGCGATGAAGAATTTGGAGAGCTGCCGAACGGTTCCATGTCCTTCCAATCTTCCAAATTCCACTTGATTAAGATGGGCGATAACCTGTCAAACAGGGAAAATAGAACTTATTCAGTGAAAACCCCTTGTTCAATCTTAGCCCCTTCAAAAGTTGAATATCAAGATTACTCGCGGTGTTTTCAATTTGGAGAAGTAAATTGAGTCATTTTGCTCCGACTTGACACGATGGTTGTCCATCAACATTTAAAGGTAAATAATGATACATTACACATGTTTTGCAGGTGAGAAATCATGATCCAAGGAGGAAAAAATTGAGTTACGCAATTGAGAGCATACCAATCCATGCGATGAAAAGAACGTGAATGAAAAATAATCAAATAAAGTTATGAGAAGAATTCATTTTTTTCTCATTAACGGGAAAACCCATTTAAATAGATAGATCTTAAACTCATGAAATACCTTGCTAATCTCATGAATGATATAAACATGAGTTAAAACCCTTTACACTTGGTGGCGTGGGAAACTATGACCCCCTTTTATGAGCCTAATCCACACACGCACAAATATGTTTTTTAATCACTAAGCAAGCTCTACAAAGTGAATATCGTAAGAAAGGAATAATTCAAAGTATAATAAACTTCCATGCTAGTGCATTTAATGCAACTGAAAGAGCACTACAAAGCAAAATGGCAATCATAAACATTTTTTCCTTTTTCCTTTTTGCTCCAATGCAACTTTAGCTTTTTCATCGTGTGGGTAATCAATCTCCAAGTCAACCTCGCCTCATCATTTGGTCTTGGGTTCTTCTGAACAACCCACCATGCACCTCATTTCCCACTTTGGCTCTCTCTCTCTCTCCCACTCTTTTTCGTTTTATTTTTGTTTTTACCTTTTCAATAGGAGTGTGTCATTCCCTATATAATTGCCTCTCTCTTTTAGCCGGATCTTCCCCTCATGGGAAGCAGAAGCATCTCATTTCAGGCAAAGCATGAAGGTTCATCAGTTCGCACGTGGATTATTTGAGCTCGAACCCACCACCCTCACGCTCGGCTGCAAACGCCTCCGCCCCCTCGTTCCAAAGCTCCCCCACCAGACCGACGTGGTCTCGACCGCCGCATTCGTCGACATCAAGAGCTTCATCCGCCCTGAGAGCGGCCCGCGGAGGCTCGGTTCCTCCGACGATGACAAGAGAGACCCTCCTCAGGTCTCCCCCATTTCTCTCTTCTACGGCAATTTCCACAATTCATGTCATGAGCGTGTGAATTTTGACTATATCAGATATGACATTTGCAAAGTGACTAGGAATTCAAACTTTGCCGTGTTTACAAGTCCAATGTACCACACAAAGAGCCTTCGGAGTCCTCTTTTTTCCATTGATGATTTTTCTATTCGATGATTGAACCCTGTTAATCCACTTGTTCTCTTCCTGGAGCATACGTCCCCTAGTAAAACCTAATCAAACGGGCTAGTTGAAGAAAGAAAAATTCATATCACGCCTCTTCTTGACAAAGCAAAAGTGAGAGTGGTTTTAATTTACCGTGTCATTGGACTGAATAACAAAATAAATAGATAGTCTGTAATCTTCATCATTTCGATTGCCATGGCGGCCATTAAGTGTCATTTGAAAGAAAAGAATACATGTCTTGCTGGTGAAGAAATTACTATATGATTTTGAAGTCTCATATTTTATGTGTGCATGGGAACTTCTACGTTCATGCAGGTGGAAACACACCCGGGAGGGACACGTTGGAACCCGACGCAAGAGCAAATCGGAATACTTGAGATGCTGTACAGAGGGGGAATGAGAACTCCCAACGCGCAGCAGATCGAGCAGATCACGGTGCAGCTCAGCAAGTACGGTAAGATCGAAGGCAAGAACGTGTTCTATTGGTTCCAGAACCACAAAGCCCGCGAGAGGCAGAAGCAGAAGCGCAACAGCCTCGGCCTCGCTCACTGCTCCAGAACCCCCACCACGACTGCCGCCATCGCCACTGTAACTTTGAACACTACTAAGGTAAGAGAAATCATACTACAATTTTTATGTTCCTCATTCCAACATCGGTATCGGAGCGCTGAATGATGTATGTTGAGCTTGACGCTTGGTTCGTTGTACTCATGCTTCACGTGTTGTTTCAGCTTTGCCTGACTACTTAATTTCCATTTGATCCATCTATCGAGCATCGCCTATCTTCTCGGACTTGAACCGTCTAATGTAGGCTTCATGTTTTATGATGTAGAAAACTCACCTGTCCTAGCACAATATGCACGAGTGTAATTGCAAATGAACGTTTGAATTTTAAAATTTTAAGATTAACCGATTGAACATAACGTTATGTTGCAGGGATCGGAAGGAGAGATTAGAGGGGAGGAAGACAGTCCATACAAGAGGAAGTGTAGAAGCTGGGGATTTGACTTCTCGGAAGCCGAAGAGGATGTGAGCAGGTCATCATCATCTTCATTCAGAGATGAGGACGAAGCAGCTCACTGTAGAACTCTGGAGCTCTTCCCATTACACCCGGAAGGCAGATGAAGGTGTTCCGTTCTGAAGAAAAATATAACTTCGCAAAATCTTCCTCTCGTTCTCTCTCTCTCTCTCTCTCTCTCTCACCCTTTCTCCCTATTTCAAAGGCTTTGTGAGGCCAAATTGTGATGTGATCATCGTCTAAGCATGATCTTTCCTTCTTCTTTCCTTTTCTTTTCCCTTCTCTTGAATTAGATGATGTACTGCTTTTTCTTTCTTTTTTCTTTCCTTTTGTTCCAGGAAAGAAGAAAGAAAGACAAGATGTGTCGTCTCTTGTCTGACCTCTGTACTCTAATTTAACCTTTGCTCTCTCTCTCTCTCTCTCTGACTTCTAAGCCTGCGTTCTCTGTAGGACTCTTTATTCACATCTCTGCCATGTGTTTGTGTGTGTATGTGCTTGTTCATTCTTTTGACTATGGAGGAACAAGCATGTTAATAAATCCAAGGCTTTTAGGTTAAAAGTAGCGACCTATGGACACTGAAGTCCAAGCACCTACTAATCTTTTTTCATTTTCCTCTTTTTTCCTTCCTCTTCTTCTTCGCCCTACTTTCAAATTAGGAACATCACGATCTAAAAGGAAAATGTCTCCACTTGCATCAATTCCCAAAAGAAAAGAAAAGAAAGAATTGATGTATAATAGTATTATGTGTTTAGTCTCTTGTGGAGACTTTTTAGCAAAAGCAAGATGGATTGGAAGATCAAGATGATCAAGTATCTAAGGGACGTGGATTTTCTTGATGTGAAGAATCTTTGGTGATTGACATGCTTTTTCAAGCATTATTTGGCCGCCCATCCATCCTCGTTTTGGATGAAGTTTTGGGAGGGAAAAGATATGCCACGAAATTTGAAAGATACATGCCTAAAATCATCTCAATGATTGTTCTAATTTGGACACATATATGACAACTGATTTAACTTTTCTTTTCTACTTTCAATAACATATCATTAAACAACTTTAGGGTCCATTTACCTCTTCCAAAGCAAATAGGTTTCTCTAGAATTTTTTTCAAAATTTAAAAAACTATTTGAATTTTAAGAATAAAGTTGTACGAGAATCTATATTTCAATATTATATCTTAAAAGGTTCAAGTTCAAAGAGTTCAACGTCAAATAAAAGTAAAATTACTTGACCCACAAGATTCGAAAATATGGGGAAAATTACCAATTCAGTTCCAAATCTAGGAAAATTACCAAAAAAAATCATAAACCTATTGTACAAATGTTAATTCAGTTATAAAATTTTTAATTTGGTCAATTTAGTCATAAACCTTTTGATAAATTGCCAATGTTGTCCTTCTGACCAATTTTGGCCAGAAATCGATCATGTGGACGTTAGATCCTACATGACATAGCCTGCGCTGATGTAGACAATGTTGCAATTTTAAAAAAAAATGAATATTTATATATTTGATATTTTCTTTTCTTTTCTTTTCTTTTCTTTTCCTACTGTGGCCATCGAGGGCTTGCAAGCCCTCGCCCAGTGGCAGACAAAGGTTGCCCAGCCAAAATGAAAAAATAAATTAAATGAAGAAACTAAAAAATAAAAAATATAAACAATTCATAATCTTTTTAAAAGTTCTAAAAATTATCTATGTCAGCGCTAGTCATGCCAAGTAGGATGACTATCGTCTACGTCAGTAATTTCCGATCAAAATTGGTCGGAAGGCCCAATTTGAAGGTATGAGACTGAATTGGCGTCTATGCAATAGGTTTATGACTTTTTTGATAATTTTTCCACTAAACCTATTGTACGGATACCGGTAGAGTCTTAAACTTTCCAATTTTGCCAATGTAGTCTTGAACCTTTGTGTGAAATTTCAATATAGTCCTTCCGGCCAATTTCCGTTAAAAATTGCTAATGTGGCGTCCAGTCATTACCAGACGTTCTACGTGGCATGCTGATGTAAACGACTCGTGGATCGTCATGTCAGCATTTTCGATGGCAATTAGCTGGAAGGATTACAGTGCAAAGGTTTAGAACTGCATTAGAAAAATTGAAAAATTTATGATTGATTGGATAATTATTCCGAATATAAGGATTAAGCATTGGCATCAAGACATGTGAATTTGTTCACAAACATAATGAATTTGATGACTAAGTAGCAAAAAGTACACTGTATAAATGACAATTAAGGTTTACTTTAACAATGTGTTTAGCATCATAGAAAAAGGAGGAAATGAGAGAGATTATTTAGAAAACAATTTTCTTAATTCGGGTGTTTAAATCGTGGGGGGAAGTGAGTGAAAATGAAGGGAAGCTTTTCCCTCTAAGATTACATTTTATTTCTTTTTTATTCGAAAATTCACACTAGAGGTGATCATAGGACAACCTTATAAATCCGAACTTCACGACTACTGTAAGCGACCATCTCAAGATGAGCTTTACAATTAAGAGTAACTAGAAAAACGCACAAAAATATATGGTCAATTTGGTCATGACATCCGTTTTGTAAAGATTTATGACCAGTAAGTCCACAATAGAAACAAGAATAGAAACCTTGTACACAGGCAGCAATAATAGGACGCCATTGGTTAGATCAACATTACACTAATGCAAATACATAGACTCGAATAAACCTAAACGGGAAACAGTCGGCCCATCCAAACCATCAAATTCACTTCATATAAGTACAACAAAGGGAAAACAAAATAGAGGGTCATTTTCGATCCTATCTCAATTGGTCTGTAATCATGACCCAGCCACAACACCTTACTCGAGTGGTGGCTCCACCACCTACGTTAGATACCATTGATGCACGGACAACTTCCGTAGGCCATTTGTTAATTCCAAATGTTTGAGATTGGGCTATTGATTTAGAGTATGTGAAACAATTGATTTAGAATTCAAACGCGTTCACTCCCATTCGAATGAGACAGACGCGTTTTGAATACCATTGATGACCACTGGAGTAATTGAAGGTGATTGGAGCGACAGACCCTCAGGATAGGATGGATAGTTTGTTTCACTTGACCATCGGACCATGGTATAATGGGAAAAATTATCCAAAAAGTCATAAACCTTTTACACTTTTGCTAATTCAATCATAAACCTTTTGATTGTGTCAATTAAGTCCTAAACCTTTTCACATTTTGCTAATTGAGTCCATCTGATCAATTTTAGCTGGAAATTGCTAACGTGGATGCCAACCATCCTACGTGGCATGATCGGTACTGACATGGACAATATTTAATAATATTTAAATATTTTTTCGAATTATTTATTTATTCTTTTATTTTTCCTTTTTTTATTTTTCTTTCTCTTTAGCTTCTTTACATTTTTCTTGCTGTGGCTGACGAGGGTCGTTGGGCCCTCGTCTAGTGGCCGACGAAGAGTAAGAAAAAAGAAAAGAAGGGAAAGAGACATAAAAGAAAAAAAGGAAAAAGGAAAATTAAAAATTAAATAAAAAATAATAAATTATAACAAAATTGTTCATGTCAGCGTTGGCCGTGCCATGTAGGATGACAGGCATTCACGTCAGTGATTTTTAGCGAAAACTGATCGAATGAACTCAATTGGCAAAACGTGAAGAGATTTATGACTCAATTGGAAAATTTATGACTCAATTGATAAAAATGCAATAAGTTTAGGACTTTTCAAAAATTTTCCCTGTAGTTGATTTAGAATTCAAATGTGTTCACTCCCATACGAATGAGACAGAGACGCGTTTTGAATACCATTGATGACCATTGGAGTAATTGAAGGTGATTGGGGATAGAGACCCTTAGGAGAGGATTGATAGTCTGTTTCACTCGACCATCGAACCCTGGTATGACGCGATGCTTACGAGTCAATTGCACTATCAGATTCTTCCTTGATGAGGATTTGACCAACTTGAAGTACAACTGGGATTGTCGCTAAATCCATTGCGATATAAGATTATACTCTTGGGCACAAGCTTTCCTTTCGAGACAGAATATGAAAGGGGATATATGCAATCCAATAAGTCAAGGCACATGGCTGGCTTGCTACTAGATGAGGAGGATCACTGTCTAGAGATGTTAGATAATCATGTCTGCAAAACATGAAATTGCATCTTGGCATAAGGAATAAATAATCTGTGATCAATACAATTACCTAATAGAACATTCATTTCATATATATTCAGGCTATTTTCCACAAGACATAGGAAGGAAAAGGAATATCTTGGGGAGAGAGAGATTCTTAAATTTTGTTCATGATAAACAGTTGAGAGCTACATAATTCTAGATTTCATCCTGTATCAATGTTCTAGACTATTTTTTAAAATGTCTTTTGAATGCATATGTTTCTTAGATTAATCACTCATTTCATTTCAAAGAGAGAGTGAGTCTCTTGGACTGTGTTTGGTGGACCGGATATTCAATAAGATAACTTTTGTCCTATCCAATGTTTGGGCCAATGAAAATCCAAATCCAGATAAAAAAATTCCACCTGAGGGGTGAGATATACATGGATAGGATATTGCCATCCAGTAAAAATTACAAGAAATGAAAAAATTAAATAATTCAAGCCAACTTCCTATAGTTTCTTTGTCTTATGCAACTTCGTCACACAAGCAGCTGCACCTTCATCTGCCGCACCTTCGTCAGACCTGAGACTCACAACCTCAGATTCGAGGTTGCCGACCTTAGGGGACCCTAGATAAGTGGTCGCCTAAGGCTGGGCCTCAACCCTAATGTCGATTGTGGCGTCTGGGGTTGTAGCATTGTTGGACGTTGCGCCAAGGAGGGGTGCGCACCATCAGAGCAAGAGAAGAGCAAGAGAATCAAGCAAGGAAGGTGATGATGTCGACGAGCTCACAAAGAGCTTGAGAGAGAGACACAAACAGTTAGAGCAGGAGATTGAGCAAGGAAGGGATAACGGAGTCCCATGCGGCGTGGAAGTAGGCGATGAGGCGGGAATGGGAAGCTGAGGGGAAGAGGGTGGAGATGAGGAAGGCATAGGTGGGTAGGTCGAGAAGGAAGCCTTAGGAATTCAAGTGAAGAAGGAGGAAAAGGCGAGGTCGAGATGGTGTTTGAGCCGCTTCATTGCAACGGCGATAAAAGCCGGAGATTCAATCCATGTTAGGTCCAGACATTTAACAATTTACGCATAAGATATTATAAATCCTATCCTCTCATAACCTATCTGATCTTATTCTATTTGGTAAAAATGTTCAGACGACCAAAGGTGGCCTTAAATTGTTGTCATCTTTTAAGTACCATTTACTCCATAAACTTACCACCCATTTGTGTAGACCTGTTAAATGGGTGGGTTGGGTCGGATTTGGGTTGGGTCACAAATGGTCCAACCCAAATTGACCCATTAACCCATTTATGACCTATTTATGCGCAATGC